CACCTTAGGTGTATGTGGCTGGTGCCTTAGCCGCTTGAGCCACAGGTGCCGAGCCAAACTCATTCTTTCTTATTCTCTTCTGCTATTTACTCCCCTTCTGCTTCCTCTCTTCTTGCTTTTGCAGGTCTCTGAGGGTTGGCCAAAGGCCCACTGTTGAAAGGAGAAAACATACAATAACAATGTATAAAAAAGGACCATCTCTCTGCATATGGACAGCTTCCCCCTAGTATTGCAGTCCTCCACTGACTGATGGATTACTCTTATTTCGTGATGACATTAGCTCCCTTTGCTCACTGTCACTCTTTCTACTCCTGTCATCATTTCAGTACTAAATGATTTTTCAACAAACTGGCTTCTCAGTTTCTTGAACTCACCTCTGCTTCAATCACTCACTCCTTAGACTTTTTTCAAGACCACTAATTTCAACTTTCCAGAACCTCTACATGAATCTTCCTCTCTGACTATATTATAGTCCTAACCCTAACAATTTCCATTCCCCCCCAGCCTACTATCCATTGCTTCCCCACCTTTTTACTACTCTGAACCCTTGTCTCTTCCTTGCAAAGCTTAAATTCCACAATTGTCATCCCACCCCCCCTCACCCCCCGACTGCTTATCTCTTACTTATTTGGCAAAGTGACAACCCTGGTTAGGTCTAACTCTCTGTATGCTGTGTCTCTGATCTATGTAGCTGAATGACTGGCCTCATATTAAATTCTTTACTTTTGGGTGGAGCCTGTGGCTCAAAGGAGTAGGGCGCCGGCCCCATATACCTGAGGTGGCGGGTTCAAACCTGGCCCTGGCCAAAAACTGCAAAACAAAAAAAACACTTAAATTCTTTATCTTTGTGGGCACTGACTGGACTTCCTTAGCTCATTTGCTTCCCGTTTCTTCTGGTTGGTGGTATCTCTTAGCTCCCCTCTCCTCAAACCTCTAACACCTTCTCCCCAGTCCTCATTCTTGGTTTGTCTTCTTAGCCTTTCATGCCATCTCTGCTCTTCCTCTTGTCTCTATCTTGGAGTGCCTCAGACACTCAGCCTTCTCCTCTGTCTATACTCACTCCCTGGAGGTGATCTCATCTAGTCTCACTTTCTCTTTGTTGGTGATTATCAAATTTATATCTCCTGCCCAGGCTTCTCTCTTGAAATCCAAATGTGTACATCCAGGAGAAGTACATCTTGCTTCAGGGTTTCTCAACTTCGTATTACTGACCTTTTAGACAGGATGAATCTTTGTTGTTGGGGGACTATTCTGTGCCTTGTAGCATGTTTAGCAGCATTCCTGACCTCTACTCTTTGGATGCAATTAGCCCTCTCCCCTTTATCCACTGGGATAAAGCATTGTGATAGTGGGTGGGATTTCTCAGTGGTTTTTCTCAGGGTCAGCAGGCCTATTGTGAACTAGCTTCCTTCTTTTTTTTTTTGGAGCAGAGTCTCATTCTGTTGCCCAAGCTAGAATACAGTGGTGTCAGCCTAGCTTACTGCAACCTCAAATTCCTGGGTTCAAACGATCCTCTGGCCTCAGCCTCTTGAGTAGCTGAGATTACAGGTACCTGAATGACACCTGGCTAATTTTCATATTTTTAAGAGAAATGAGGTCTTGCTCTTGCTCAGGCTGGTCTCCAATTGCTGAGCTCAAGCAATCCACCTGCCTCGGCCTCCCATAGTGTTAGGATTATAGGTGTGAGCCATTGCACTAGGCCCTGGATTTATTCTTTTTTTTTTTAATTTCTTTTTATTAAATCATAACTTTGTACATTGATGCACTTATGGGATTCAGGGCACTACTTCAATATACAATGTGAATGCTTACATTGAACTAAGTAACACATCTATTAAAGTTATACTCATATGCCTGGCTTTTTTTTTTTTTGAGATGGAGCCTCAAGCTATCCCCCCGGATAGAGTGCCATGGCATCACGCTCACAGCAACCTCCAACTCCTGGGCTCAAGCGAGTCTCCTGCCTCAGCCTCCCAAGTAGCTGGGACTACAGG